TTAACTAAAAGCCGTTCACATTTTGCATTTTCTGCACGTGCAAGTTCGCTTCCAATGGAGGCACATGGCTTGTGCTCACATATTGGGAGCGATGTGTGCGCGCTGCAGCACATACTCGCATTTTTTATACACATTTCTACTCGCATCCAAAAAGGAAAAAAATAAAAATAATAATACCAAACATGTTTGTAATATGACTGATCTAAAGTACCTTTCAGACAGACATCCAGCAGTCTTTGACTACATTTGTTCTCTTTAAAAGAGAAATACTTACATTTACATGAGAAAATACTTATAATAGATTTACATTAAACAAATACTGTTTGTTTGTTTATTTGTTTATTCATTTTTATTTATTACTTATTTAGTTGTTTGTTTATTATTTATTTATTTGTTTGTTTGTTTATTATTATTTATTATTTATTTATTTATTTACTAATTTTTTTTATTTATTTTCAGTTTAAAATAATTACTTCTTTAAATGTCAGATTTGTTTATTAATATTATTTATTTATTATTTGTTTATTCATTTTTATTTATTGATTGATTATTTATTTAGTTGTTTGTTTATTTTTTGGGTGTTTGTTTGTTCATTTATTATTTAATTGTTCATTTATTTTTTATTTATCTTTTATTTATTTATTTATTTATTTATTTATTTATTTATTTATTTTTTTAATTTATTTTCAGTTTAAAATAATTACTTCTTTAAATGTCAAATTTGTTTATTAATAATATTTATTTATTATTTGTTTATTCATTTTTATTTGTTTATTTATTATTATTTTGTTGTTTGTTTATTATTTGTTTGTTTGTTCATTTATTATTTATTTGTTTATTTATTTATTTAATAATTGTTTATTATTATTTATTTATTTATTTATTATTTGTTTTATTAATTTGTATTTATTTATTTGTTTATTTATTTGTTTGTTTGTTCATTTATTTTTTATTTGTTTGTTTATTTATGTATTTATTTATTTATTGGTAATTATTATCATTCATTTATTTATTACTTGTTTATTTATTCATTTTTATTTATTTATTTGTTTATTTATTATTTTTTTAGTTGTTTGTTTATTATTTATTTTCATGTTTGTTTGTACATTTATTATTTATTTGTTTGTTTATTTATCAATTGTTTATTATTGTTTATTTATTTATTAATTTGCTCATTTTTAAAATTTATTTTCAGTTTAAAATAATTACTTCTTTAAATGTCAGAAACTTTTTTTCACTTATTTTCAATTCCAAAGAGAAATGGACTATTGTTTGTTCATTATTATTATTTTGTGTTGTGTAGTATTATTTGGTAACTGAGCAGCAATAAATAACACTTTACAATAAAAGGAGTTTTCATGTGATTTTAGAAACTAGTAGTTTTAAAATCAATGAATGCAAAATAACCGTGAAACCGTGATTATTCCTCAGACTATAACCGTACAACCAAAAACTATAATCATTGCATTCCTAAGGTGAACTATCTCTTTAAATAAGTTATACAGTTGAACAATAAACATCTGTGCAAACTTTACATACATATAATTGAATTGGTAGACTTGTTTTAATTCTAGAACATGCTTAAACACTCACAGTTCTGTATCTTGAGGCACATTATAATGTTTGCACAGAACAGCATGAATAGACATTGCTTAAAACAAACACATTTCATTTTGCTTTGGCTCAGTCCCTTTATTCATCAAGGGTCGCCACAGCGGAATGAACCGCCAACTTATCCAGCATATGTTTTACACAGCTGATGCCCTTCCAGCTTCAACCCAGTACTGGGTAACACCCATACACACTCACATGCACACACTCATACACTACGGCCAATTTAGTTTATTTAATTCACATATCCCGCACGTCTTTGTATTGTGGGGGAAACCGGAGCACCCAGAGGAATCAAACAAACACAAAAATTTTAAATGTTTTCGACTATATTTATTTATTGACTTTATTTATTGACTCTTGTGACAGACTGTCATTCATCCAAGATTAATAACAAAGTGAGTTGTTGTGCAAATCCCTGCACTAGATGAACATGCACACCCATCAACATCCATAACCAGTGTACAGTAACACTAAATTCAGGAGAATATGGCTTTGTGTTCTGTATATACATACATGGAAACCCAATCAGCAGCAAGTTTCAAAGTAAATGACTAGCAAAAAAGAACCAAAATGCATACCGTACCATTGTTTGAATGTTTCAGTTGTATTTCTCGCACACTTATACATACTAAATGTAGCATGTTCAGAGGAAACGTGATAATACAAGACAGCAGACGTGAATATGCTACTAAAGTAAACAGCGTACATCATTTATTCAGCAATGAAAAAACGGAAGAATTACACCATCTTGATCAGAAAACGAAAGAGTTATCATTCTGGGTCATGTACAAAGGCTCTATATCACAGCATTCGTTTATCCATTCTTTGGATGCATGTACACTTTTGGCAAATGGCACCATAATGCCCTGGAAAAGTTCAAATATTGAGGTTCTGCAGGTATAAACCATAAAAGCTCAATCAGACGAAGAACTGGTTTTCAAGTTTCATTATTCATCTGTATTAACAAGGCACACTTTATCCTATATTACTGATTTATTTGAAGGTGCGGAGCTGAGGGTGAGAAGAAACAGAATCAGGAAGCAAATCTGGGTTTCTAAAACAACCCAGTTAATATTTAAATAGCCAAGCTCTTGTGACTCTTACATTCGACTGTTAGATCATCTCTAACATCTAAAGTTTCTGTAAATTTAAGATAAAATAAAAAAAACAGGTGACCTCCGGCAGCAACTACAAGTAGTTTAAACATCCTGAGGTGGCGTGTACTGTGTAAACGCCTTAAGGATCTAAACGCTGACAATCTGAAAGGCAAGCGTCGCGAGATCTCATTATTAAAGTGGCTTTGATGTGGTGTAAAGTTGTACAGCTGAACAATAAACAACTGAGGACTGCGCAAACGCCTACTTACATTCAATTGAAGATCGCTCATTATTCTAACATATGCTTTAACTCTGACATTTCTGCATCTTTAGGCACAGTATTACGCTTGCTGTATACTATATTTAAAATACCAGCTTCCATAAAAAGTTTTACTTCCATTTTAGGAGAAACATTAAACACATATCGTAATCGTACTATATTTTGAAGCTATAATGATTCAATCCTTAAAAACCATACACTGTTAACAATTTCCTGTAGAATTTACAGCAACTTACTGTAAATCAAACTTACAGAAAGTTTTACAGAACTAAGGTCTAATTCCAGTTCTACCCCTTAGCTCTTCCCCCTTACTCCTCCTTTTGCGAGTTCATGTGAAGGGGTAGGGGTGTCCCAATTCTCATTAGCTTGAAGGCATAGGGCTAAGAGGAAGGGCTAGACACCCCTTCAAACAGAGACCTCTCAAAACAGGCCACTCTCAAAACCAAAGGCTAGGAAAATTTCTCTGAATACACCAGCCACAGAGGCAGCATAGATGCACTCGGAAGTAAGGAGATCTACAAATTAGTATTTTTTGTCATTATTTTCGAACTAACAAGCACATGATTTACATTTATAGCGTTTGTGTTTTACTGTCATGCTTTAAAAAAAAAAACATTAAACTAAAACATGCTAAATTTTGCTATCTATAATCCATAATAATAACTCCTGTGTAGCAGTTCCACAACATTCAGACACTCGATGACACTCCAATACCCTGTCAGTAATGTCTAGTGGCTGGAAATGACATTTTTAGTGTCTGGTATAATGTTAATGTAGTGTTTACTGTACATAGATGAATAGGGCCACTGTGTAAATGCACAGTATAGTTACGATCTTATTGCCACATTAGATCATTATAATAACATGATATACTCTTTTAGTGATTTCCTGAAGATAAATACCAAAAAATAAAGCAACTGGAATAACTACAGTAGTCGCAATCGTCTTATCTCATATAAAGCAAGAGATCCCGATGACATATGATGTTGTGTGCAGGTGCTGTCCCAATTGGTAGGGGTAAATTTTGAAGCCCCTCCTCTTCACAATCTGTTTCAAGGGCCAAGGGGAGCATGGGGTAGAGGTACAAAAATTTTATTGGGATTGGCCCTTAATATTTACTGTACCGTTCATCTTGCTGTACAAGTATTGTATATCTTTACTGTAAAACATACAGTATTTCACAGTCATACATTATCATACAATGAAAATTAACTTGTAATTTGTTGTACTTATATCTACTTACTGTAAAACACTCTAAATGGTAAACTATGGCCAGGTTTTTAGAGATACAGTTGAAGTCAGAATTATTAGCCCCCCTGAATTATTTTTCCCCCATTTCTGTTTAATGAAGGGCAGATTTTATCAACACATTTCTAATCATAATAGTTTTAATAACTCATCTCTAATAACTGATTTATTTATCTTTGCCATGATGACAGTGAATAATATTTCACTAGATATTTTTAAGACACTTCTAAACAGCTTAAAGTGACATTTAAATGCTTAACTAGGTTAATTAGGTTAACTGGGCAGGTTAGGGTAATTAGGAAGTTATTGTATAACAGTGGATTAATCTATAGTTTATCGAGAAAAAAATTAGCTTAAAGGGTCTAATAATATTGTCCTTAAAATGGCTTTTAAAAAATAAAAAAACAGCTTTTATTCTAGCTGAAACAAAACAAATAAGACTTTTTTTAGAAGAAAAAAAATTATCAGACATGTTTATTATTTTGTATGGCGATTGGAAAAACTGTTCCCCATTCGCCCGCCTTGATCATCACATTTGTGAAATAGTATACACTATTGTCTGTTGTGTACACTATTTATTAACTATAGTTACAATATATATATATATATATATATATATATATATATATATATTGATGACAAGGTCAGAGACGACGTTAATAACATTACATCCGTCATAACCATATGTGGTTGGCCCCTGCTTAGATCGTGTGTCCTGGATTGTGTGTGCTGAAACGGGTCTGCGGGACTGCAGCTGGATATTTTTTTGGGTTTAAAGCAAATTCATTTTTACTGTATTTTGATTCACAGCAAATAAAAACACTGTTTTAATGGCGCGAAGAGAACATTCCCCACAATGCAACTTTAAAATAGGGTAACATACTGCATAACTGTCATACAGTAAAATTCAATTCACATTACAGTTAAAAACTGTGTAACTGGCAAAAATTGTTAACAGTGTATGCTTCAGTAAAGTGTCAATCATACAATCTATTTAAAACAAAGACAAAGAGTGGTAGAACACGCAGATTTTTGTGTGATAAAAGCAACATAAGACATTAAATATAACATGTATAAGTACTCGTTTTACCCAACCGGTGTGAAAAATGAATATCTAACAATAATATAAACCACTACTGATGCCTGACTGTTTGAAGTAGCAGCACGTGTACAGCAGATGGACTTGAGATGGAGACAATGAGCTCGATATACCAGAGGAGAAACATTAAAGTCGAAGCACAGATGAAAGACTGTTAAACGATGGCAAAAAGTGACTAGTTGAAGGCCCTTTTTGATTTACTGTACCACAGGAATGCCGTTAAAAGTGGCAAATGCTCCATTTCACTGGGTTTCAAGATGATCTGAGGGACACCTGAGGTCCTAATCTTCTGGCGGTGGAGAAACAGAAGTGATGTGGGAGAGAAAACGTATGAGGAAACTTCTCATCTCCAAGACCAGAGTCCAGAGCGTAATCCAGTCAGTGCTACACACAGGCCCAGCCGCCTCTTAAAAGAGCTGGATCATTGATTCCCGTGACTTCCCAACACCAATCCACTTCACTGAAGATAAAGGTGAAGAAAATTATTAGACTATAAAATAACCTTAATGGCATTGTAAACATTCACACTTACATCAGTAACTGGATAATAGTTTGTTTGTTTGTTTTAATCACATGATCTTTCTCAATATACTGTAGTGTCCACCTGCTATTAAAGGACTAGATCAACCAAAAATTAAAAGTGGCTGCCCTTAACTGGTAACCATTGATTTCCTTAGTATGTGTTCCTACTTCTGATGTCAATGGTTACCAATTTCCAGCATTCTTTAATTTACTTTATTTTGTGTTCGATAGAACAAACCCCCCAAAAAACTCAAACATGATTGAGATAAGCAAAGTTTGGGAATTTGTTGTTTTGGGTGAACTATCACTTTAAATATATTCTGCCCAATCCATCAAGCTGAAGTGTTCAGAGTAGGAATGCAGTTCCAAAGCAGAACAAATTCACAGATTTTGGTTAAAGAGACAAACTTTTTTCTTCTTCTGTGGATTAATGCAAACAGATTAGTATACAGCTATATTTTGCTTGTTTTGACCAAAAATTTGTGACTAAGAAATATTTTTTATTTTTATTTTTAGTGTGGTTAGAGATAAATGTGGTCAATCTTTAATTATAAAGCTCTGAAAAGTCATGCGAAATAAAAACTAATTGTAATATGACACTATGAAACCATGACCCATTTGCTCATGCACATTGAGCAAGCTCATACATGACACACAAAAAGTGAAATGAATGAGGAGGCATGTGGACGTAACACAACATCTAAATTAAGTAATTTTAGCATGTCAGTCATATTTATGCATATAAAAAATATTCCCCACAACAAATTGTGGCTAGTGAAAATGGCGAGTGGCTAGTAATGTTGGAAATCTACTAGCCACCGTGGCTGGTGACCCTGTTTATATTATTTGCTAATTAATAACCACCTTATGTAAATGCCTGTCTGATTTCGGAGGCTGTTACTGTCCACCAGAGTTTGCATTTTAGGTCAAGGACGCATACCTTGAGAGCCTTCCTGACTGAATGAATGATATTTGCAGTTTTTCACAAAGGCAGCTCAAGTGCTGAAATATAATTGACTAAACTGGCATTGGCCGGTTTAAATGACCAAAATAAAGACAACCGTTCCGGCACGTAACAGGCATTTTCAAAGCAGAATATCTAACTTCAGCATGGTTTTTTCAGATAAATAAGAATGTTTACTTAGCATGTTTCTAAAATATCTGCAAACATATTATGGTATTTTTATGCTTTAGATGAGTCAAAAACTTACACTGCAAAAAAATATTTTCTTCCTTAGACTTTTTGTCTTGTTTCAAGTCCAAATACCACAAATTTCTTAAATCAAGAAGAATTTTCAGAAAACATATTGTCTTGTTTTGAGAAATAATGTGCTAAAATTAAGGAGTTTTTCCTTAAAACATGCAAAATAATCTGCCAATGGGGTAAGCAAAATAATCTCATATCAAAAGGAAAAACTAAATTATTTTGCTTACGCCTTTGGCAGATTATTTAGCTTGTTTTAAGGAAAAACTCACTTAATTTTAGAATATTATTTCTGACACCGAGACATTATGGGCTCTGTTTTGACAGTCCATGCACAAAGTGCAAAGCGCAGGGCGCAAATGCTTTCAGGGCGTGTCAGAATCCACTTTTGCTAAAATAAGGATGAAAAAATCTGCTTTGCACCGTGGCGCATGGTCTAGAAGGGTTGAGTTTATTTTCTTAATGAGTTATAGGTGTGTTTTGAGAATAAACCAATCAGAGTCTCATCTCCCATTCCCTTTAAGAGCCAGTTACGTCGCGCCATGGCACATTTCCTCTTTACATGACGTAAAGTAAATGGAAGTGGAAAAACTGAGCATTTTACTAGCAAGAAAACAGTTAAACAGAGCATCTGCAGCGCGAGAATGAGAGATAAGGCCTCTCATAATCTACTTTCGCTTTCGTGGATAGGGAAATCTTGTACGTACAGACATCAGTTAGCCCATAATAATAATTAATTTTGTTTGTTAAGCGCAAAGATTTGTTTCAAAACTATTTCTAAATTCAGTTCTAATTTCCAGCAAATGAATAAATGAACAATATTAACGAAGTGTGGTCAAAAAACTGAGTTATGTCCTAAAACACATGCTGTTTTACCCCATATGATCTAAAACCTGACAGGTGGGGAAATCTAAGCTTGTTTTAATAAAACAAATATAAATATGCACATAATAAATAATACTGCTAATAATAATAATATTATACAAAAGCAAATTGAATGAACTGAAAAAGCCTCCCGAGATGAAGAAAGTATGAAGGCAGTGGTTTTTAAATTCATGTAGGCTAGAAAATCATATGTTTTGTAATATTTTAATCCTTTATATTTACATCCTATATATATCCTTATTATCCTATATATATCCTTAATATTTGATATCTTTTTCATATGTAAAGATATTTGCGTATTCCTCTACATCTTGTGTGTATTAAACAGCGTGTAAGCCAGACAATAGACCGGCTTTGTTCTGGTCTAAAGAACAGACTATTATAGTTTCTCAAAATAGCAACGCGCCAAAACACGCCTGCTTTTTTAGACAAGCACGCCTATGGGCGCACACATGAGCGCAAATGCATTTACTATTTAAACAGCGTGGCGCAACACCTCAAAACGACATTTGCGCCAAGCTGAAAGTAGCAAATAACAATTGCGTCGCGCCTTGCGCCACATTGCTCCACATTGCGCTTCTTGATATAAGATTTTTGAGATATTTGGACTAGAAAGAAGATAAAAATATAAGTAAAAATTAAGTAGTGTTTGCAGTGTACAGCACCTTTAAATTGCTCAAGATACATTTTTTTCTAAAAACTTTAGGACAAAATTTTTATTAACCTCAAAAGTCTAAACAGAATAAAGCAATTTCCACACAGAAGCAAAAGTCATAGAGTCTAATCAAATGTATATAATTGACTGTGGTTTTCTTTACATGTTGGTCATTTATGTCAATTTTCTCCGTACCATCTATATTTAGAAACAAAATTGAGATCAGGAGATCAGAGTGATAAGTTTTAACAACATGAAATTTGGTAACTTAGAAACCTGTTTAAGCAATTGTCCAAAACTGACAAAAAAAAGTCTTACCAGGCACACCCAAGCGATCCTCAATGAAGCAGACGTATTTCTTAGCATTTTCTGGAAGCTCTTCAAAGGTCCTGACAGCAGAAGTGTCTGTACTCCAGCCCGGCAGAGTCTCATACTCCACTTCAACCTTCTGTAGCACCTCTTGGTTAGCTGGAATACGTGAATGATATTTAGATACTCTACTTTCCATCAAATCTACGTGCCGTATGTGGAATGTGCTGCTTACCTGGGAAATGTGGGATGGTCTCTCCATTTACTTTGTAGGCCACACCAACTTTAATCTCAGGAAGCACGTCTAAGATGTCAAGTTTGGTAAGAGCTAAGCTGAATAGAATAAAAGGAAAGCACATAAGAAAAGAGTGTTTTATTAAATGTAATGTAATGTGTATTTATATAGTGCATTTATTTTAAATGGCCATACACCCAAAGCGCTTTGCAATCATGAGGGGGGTCTCTCCACACCACCACCAGTGTGCAGCATCCACTTGGATGATGCAAGGGCAGCCACAGGACAACAGCGCCAGTGCGCTCACCACACACCAGCTATTGGTGGAGTGGAGAGACAGTGATACAGCCAATTCAGATGCAGATACAGAAACCAACGGAAGACATGTGTAGACTTACGCTGTGAAGCCATTAATCATGTGGGCGTATTTGATGAGCACCAAGTCCAGCCAACCGCATCTCCTCTTACGACCTGTGGTGACGCCCACTTCCTTTCCTCTCGTCTGCAAGAGCTCACCAGTTTCCTGCACACAAATATTGTACAAGTATGACGCAACATTTGTGGATTTACGGATTTACTGATATCTGAAAGTTTCTAAATAAACAGTTTGACTCTTGGTGCATTCACAATAATGTTTATTAAAGGGATAGTTCACCCAAAAAAAATGTAATTCGGTCATCATTTACTCTCCCTCCACTTGTTCCAAACCTGAGTTTCTTTCTTCTGTTTAAAACAATTGAAAATAGACTGAAGAATGTAAAAAAAAAACTATTATGGATGTCAATGGCTGCTTTTTCCAACACTCTTCAAAATAAATTCATTCATTCATTCATTTTTCTTCAGCTTATTCCCTTTATTCAGGGGTTGCCACAGCGGAATGAACCACCAACTATTCCAGCATATGTTTAACACAGCGGATGCCCTTCCAGCTGCAACCCAGTACTGGGAAACACCCATATACACGCTCATTCACACTCATACACTATAGCAAATTTAGTTTATTCAATTCACCTATAGCGCATGTCTTTGGACTGAGGGGTTAACTGGAGTACCTGGAGAAAACCCACACGAACACAGGGAAAACATGCTAACTTTACAAAGAAATGCCAACTGAACCAGCCCGGAGTCGAAGCAGTGACCTTCTTGCTGTGAGACGGCAGTGCTAACCACTGAGCCACGGTGTCGCCCTCTTCAGAATCAATTTGAATGTTGATGTTTAACTTTAATATGCATTTATTTATAGATGAGATGTCCCATTGTGGTATCTACATCAAATTAAATTGACTAATGGGAACACTAATTGCAAATGTATTAAATGCTATTTTTATGTTTCTAATGATTTCTGTGAAAACGTCATAATATGTATGAAATAGTATTGCATTACCATTAAGTATGTATTTATTCTGACCTTTACTTATTTAAAATAGAAGAGATCAAGTAATGTTTTATCATATTTTAACCTATTTATTTCCTATTTATAACCTATTTATTTAATTGCTATTCTAAGAATCTATTTTTAAAAATTCTTGGTGAAGATTAAAAATGATCAAGATTTAAAATCACAGTTAATTAGTATTAAGTTGCTGCTCTGTGATCCTTAAGTAGAGTCTTTTATAGTGTCATCAAATGATTCTGGCTCTAATTACTGGATGCCTGACATATAATTTGTTTGTATGTAAACTTGTTACAGTGAACGTCATTTTAGCAGCTGTCTGTTATGGTAAAAATGTACGATAATCATGATTTGTTTCGTTTTTTGTCAAGAAAATTGAAATTGAAACAGAATCCATTCAAAGACCCCCGTTCACATGCATGCATTTTTATGAATGAAAATGTCTTACAAACATCTTCCAAAAACAAAGTACAAAGTGTGGGAAAGCACTGTGTTGCAATAATGTCAAATGTTCACAACTGAATTGACTGAATGAACTCATTCATGTAGTAATAAAGCAACAGTAATATAAACAAATTACTCACTGTAGTTTTCACACATAAGATATGTTACATTACACCACCGATGACTGTAGTAAAATCCAAGGTATTCTTACTATTGACATTTATTGTATTCCAACTAGTCCTTCACCCATCCACTCGTTCCTGCATGGGAGGCGAAAGCTCTAGGAGGAAGCTATGTGAGTGACGCTTTCGGGCTGCACTTGAAAGCTGGCCTCCCTTAAACACTATACTATGATATGCAGTGATTTTCTTTAAAGAAACGAAACGAATCAAGCTCCGCTACACTGCTTTACTGCGAGATGTATTGTTTTTTTGATACATGCTTCGAAGAATCGGCACACAACGTCACATCACTATTTTCCTGTCTAGTCTTCCGTGTTTCGAGCCTCGCCTTTGTTCTTCCGTGTATTGAAATATATTGACTATTACGGTGTTAATCATCGTCAATCCACAAACATTACATATATTGCATAGTGTGTATATATAGTGTATTTAGTGTGTATATATTTACAGTGTATACATACTGTACATATCATGTATATATAATAAACTATATATAATAGAGTAAAGTAGTATTTACAATGCATGTTTTCTGCACATTTCTTTTGTAACTTACATGCTATAAAATCTTTAATCAAAACATTCAAATAAAATAAAATATATGATACTGTGCAAACATATAATGTGGCACAAGGACGAGAAAACCTGTCAACCACATCAGATCCATTATACAGTTGAAGTCAGAATTATTAGCCCCCCTGAATTATTAGACTGCTTGTTTATTTTTTTCCCCAATTTCTGTTTAATGGAGAGCAGATTTTTTTCAACACATTTCTAAACATAATAGTTTTAATAACTCATTTCTAATAACTGACTTATTTTATCTTTGCCATCATGACAGTAAATAATATTTGACTAGATATTTTTCAACACACTTCTATACATCTTAAAGTGACATTTAAAGGCTTAACTAGGTTAATTATGTTAACTAGGCAGGTTAGGGTAATTAGGCCAGTTATTGTTTACTAAAGGTTTGTTCTGTAGACTATCGAAAACAAATATAGCTTAAAGGGGCTAACAATTTTGTCCCTAAAATGGTGTTTAAAAAAATTAAAAACTGCTTTTATTATAGCCGAAATAAAACAAATAGGATTTTTTTCAAAAGAAAAAATATTCTCAGACATACTGTGAAAATGTCCTTGCTCTGTTGAACATCATTTGGGAAATATTTAAAAAAGAAGAAAACAATTTTAATTAATAATATTTTAACTTATAATTCTGACTTTAACTGTATAAATCTACTTAGACCAACTGTTTTACTTTCTATTTCTGATTTTCTATTCAATGAATTTTAATGACTTTATTAACTTCCATCATACAATCCTGATATTTCCATGTTCTCACGGCTATCATTTATCAGCACATATTAAATCACCGTTATGAAAGCTCATTATGAACAGGACGTCATAAACATCTCATTCATCATATATTCATTGTCATGTAGTGTGACGGATTACAGACTGTTCTGTTCGTCCGGCCTCATTACTCCTGTTCAGATCTCTCCGTAACAATAAGTCAGGGTCATTACGGCCCAAACGCTCATGTCACTTGAATGCACTGGAATATAAAGAGCTCATTAAGCATCCGCACACACAAAAGAGGAAGTTCGGCAGCTGCTTACATTGCTCTGTTCCGTAGGGAAAGCTCCAATCCCAACTCTGGTGGTGTAAGCTTTGACAACTCCGTAGACTTCACCAACGTTCTGTGGAGGCATCCCCAAACCCGTGCACACCCCTCCAACAGTGCAGTTCGAGGATGTTACGAAAGGATAGGTCCCTGAACAAGAGCGGCACATCATTATACATGTTAACGGCAGATACAGCAGGCAAAAAATACATTTTCATGCACCTGTCTCATTTTTGTCTAATATAGAAATTCTAAATTAAATTTTAAATGTTACTTTCATTGTGTCTTTTCAAATGTATATTTTTTCCCTCAAAATAAGATTTTTTTCTTAGAGAATTAAAAATCTCCACTTCAGTAGCAAAAAGTAATAGTTTTAATAAAACATGATTATACATAAGATGCCTGATTTCATCCAAAATCATTCATTCATTAATTTTCTTGTCTGCTTAGTCCCTTTATTAATTCGGGGTCGCCACAGCGGAATGAACCCCCAACTTATCCAGCAAGTTTTTACGCAGTGGATGCCCTTCCAGCCGCAACCCATCTCTGGGAAAATCCAAGATCATTTTGTATGCAAAATAATGTAGATTTAAATGAATAGTTCCTACAAAACTCATCATTTACTCACCCTTAGCTCGTTCCAAACCTGTTTGACCTCCTTTATACAGTTAAAAACAAAAGAAGACATTTCAAAGAAAGCTGGAAACCTGTCTGGCGTTCAACTGGCTTCCATAGAATTTGTTTTTCCTACTATGGAAGTCTATGTTTGCAGGCTTTCCGCTTTTTTTTAGAATATCTTCTTTTGTGTTTAACAGAATAAAGAAACTCATCAAGGTTTGGAACTACTTGAGGTGGAGTAAATAGTGGGTACATTAACATTTTTGGGTGAACTATTCCTTTAATGAAATGATGCCGTTAGCCTATTTAAATATAACATTTGTGAAACTAGATCGCAAAACCAGACATATTACAATGATATTTGAAAAGTCTGGAATCTGAGGGTAAAGTAAAAGCCAAATATTGAGGAAATCACATTTAAAGTTGTCTAAATGCAGTGCTTAGCAATGCATATTATTAATCAAATCAAAAAATACATCTTGATATATAAATAGTAGGAAATCTACCAAAAAAAAAAAATCTATGATTTTTTCTTTTGGCATTAAAGAGTTGGCATTAACTAATGCAGTATTTTTAAAAAAGGTATAATGAATTTATTAAAGTAAAAACATAAACAATGACATTAATGACACAATGAAGTTCAATGTGAAACACACTAAGCTACACCTGCCTTTGCCATAAATTGCTCGCCGATGTCTGGTACATAGCCTTCTACCTGTTACGTGATAGTATTTACATTTTTAAAAAAATCTAATTCATTTACAAACAAAGCAAACTACAAAACAAACAAACAAACAAACAGAACATTACATCAAATTCAAAACGACTATCTTTGTCACAGATATACAATCCGACCACCTCCTTATCATTCTCCCCCTCTTCTTAACTAGGAAGGTTAGTGCATTAGACTGGGCCAACTTTGGCCCGCGAGCCCTAGTTTGAGAGGGGTCTGGATGCAGACCTGGTGCAGTGCAATCTGGGCTGCATCTAATGCTTTTTAATGGGCTAACCTAACCCCACCCCTAACCCTACCCATCACAGTGACGTCACTCACTCCATTTGAGTGCATTGTGTCTGAAATTGCATCGTTGAGTGCTGAACTGAACTTAAACACTAAAAACTGAACTACCATGATCCAGTTACTATGACCATTTGTGTGAAGCTTCTTTGACACAATTCATTTCTTTCATTCATTTTCTTGTCGGCTTAGTCCCTTTATTAATCTGGGGTTGCCACAGCGGAATGAACCGCCAACTTATCCAGCAAGTTTTTACGCAGCGGATGCCCTTCCAGCCGCAACCCATCTCTGGGAAACATACACACACTCATACACTACGGCCAATTTAGCCTACCCAATTCACCTGTACCGCATGTCTTTGGACTGTGGGGGAAACCGGAGCACCCGGAGGAAACCCACGCAAACGCAGGGAGAACATGCAAACTCCACACAGAAACGCCAACTGAGCCGAGGATCAAACCAGCGACTAAGCGACCTTCTTGCTGTGAGGCAAACGTGCTACCCACTGCGCCACTGCGTCGCCTGCTTTGACACAATCTACATTGTAAAAGCGATATACAAATAAAGCTGAATTGAATTGAACTGTAAAAGCGCTATAGAAATAAAGATGAATTAAATTAACCTACAGTAGCCATAAAAATCCTAACATTTTAACATGGTGGAGAAGTCAATATACATTTAATAATTTCTAAAAAAAACAACAACTGCCAGTACATCTGATGAAAAAGTGAGGGCTTTTCCAGAAGTTTACAAATACACGTTTCAGCTGTTTAGCACATTACATAATCTTATGTTACACAAGGTTGGGGAATGGTATGTGCTGCCAATATGTTTGGGTGTATCTGTTACTCACCAAAGTCAATGTCCAGCAAGGCAGCGTTGGCACCTTCTACCAAGATCCTTTTAGGATCTCCGTGCAGTGCCTCGTACATGAAGAAGACTCCATCTCTCACCATAGGCTTTATCCTGTCTACATATGACTGCAAGAAACAGATGACCACTAAATGTCAATAACGTCATATTAAGTTATTGGTATGACTATTACTGCATGAACAAGGATCAAAATCTTGTAATATAATAATAGCTAATATGACATATGATCTTGTGCTCGAGCATCTCTACCAACTTTACAATAAATCTCAACTGTAACTCTTATCGGGGTCTCATAAAACCTTGTAATTCTAAGCTGCGGTTTTAACTGGTGTGAAGTCATGTGACATCTGAACTGCTCACCTTCAGTTTCTCCAGTTCTCCGTCCACATCAATCTCCAGTGAAGGGTACATGGACTTATACTGCGAAGCCAAATGTTTAAATCTGTGAAGAAAAGACATGAACATTGGTCAGCAGACTTTAACGGGCTACAATTTTAATCAGATGCTCTTCCGCTGTTTTTGATAGGAATTGAGAACTGGATTAATTCCACATTTAAACAAGTGCATTCTCATTTTAAGAAATAAAGAGGTTCTCAAACTGTGATACATGTACCACTAGTGGTACGTGGCCCTCCTTCTAGTGGTACGCGGAAGAATCTCTCAATAATAAGAAAATAAAATTAACACTTTTAACCCTTTGATAACTCAGTACGATAACAATGAGACTCATGTGATCAGACAGCATTTGCTATTTCCTGAAGTGTGCAATTACACCGGTGTGCTTAGAATGTTTACTTTAGAGCATCACGTCATCATTTGTTAAAAATCAGTACGCTTGGCGCCGAGCCAGTGGAAGAGGCGTGCAAGCTTGCGGAGCAAATACGCGCTATAGACCTGCTGACCTGTGCTGTTGTGTTGGCATTTCAAGTACTGCAAACTCAGGAATGTCCTCATGCTGCATCATTGGTAAAATAATTATTAAATATGTGTTAAATGTGAGCTCGTAATTGTGTAAAATAATGTGTGTTTTCGAAATATAAAGCTATTTGTTTTGAAAAGCAGCGTGGCTTTTGGTTTAGTTAGTTACCTCAGCTTTAAGCTAATTAATTTTAATGTGATTCAATTGGCGAGAAACACAGAACATAGACTCAAGCATCTTTGCCATGCTTAGAAGTAGAACATAAAGTTATCTCTTTGATAACACAGATGGAGGGACCGCAAACTGTACTCGAGTCTGCTTGAAAACAGTGGTCAGTGCATGGTTAACGCGAACTTCGTGGTTCACTTAAGATGTGATGTCATTTGCACCAAATCACGGAAATACCGCATGTATGAGTTGGTCAAGCAGTGTATTTACTTTATGCATTTAATCACTTGGTTTTCTGACACACACCTACTATAAATGTATGCAGCAGATCTCATTTCTAATTTAAATATGTAATTCCAAATGATATATTTAAAATACAAGTAGTTAATCTGCCTCGTTTTTGAACAGTGCAGTGCTGTAGCTGCTTAGTTAGGCCTATGCTACTGTATTTCAATACCGGCCTTATTATGGTACTTGGAGAGATAAATTATTTCTTAGGTGGTACTTGGTAAAAAAAGTTTGAGAACCACTGCTATAGACGAACCAAAACACATGAAATTGCATCTATATTGTACCATCCTTCACTATTCCCTATATTAGTCCACTTATATAGTGAATGAATATGAGTGTGCACCGGAAGAAATGCCTTTAGTTTGTGTTTTGTTGTTTTCTGAATCCCACAGAGGCGACACAGTGGCTCAGTAGTTAGCACTGTCGCCTAACAGCAAAAAGGTCGCTGGTTCGAGTCCCGGCTATGTCAGTTGGCATTTCTGTGTGGAGTTTGCATGTTCTCCCCATGTTTGCGTGGGTTTCCTCCAGGTGCTCCAGTTTCAGAAACTTAAATTTGCCATAGTGTATGTGTGCGAATGAGTGTGTATGGATGTTTCCTAGAACTGGGTTGCAGCTGGAAGGGCATCTGCTGTGTAAAACATATGCTGGAATAGTTGGCGGCTCATTCTGCTGTAGCGACCCCTGATGAATAACGAAACAAAGCCGAAGGAAAATGAATGAATAAATGAATCCCACAGATTTAAATTTAAACTTCTCGGTCAGCCCCTGTTATAGCTGTTTAACACTTAGCAAGCTATTTATTAGTAATAAAACAAAGATATTTGATTTCCGTCATGTATACAAACTTTAATTTAAAAAAATATATATTTTGAGACTTATATCGATAGAATTGTGCTTTAGTTGCTATCTTGTGGTCAAGATATGCAAAAATTCTTTCAGCGCATGAACTCTCAGTGCATTATGGGGCTTTTCTGTTGAGTGTACATCGGTTATATACTCGTTATTGTAGTGCATTTTGGGATTGATTCAGCGCACTATAGATTGTCTGTTACAGTTTCAGGCACCATTAGAAATGGCTGCCTCCTCAAATGGTGCAATATTTGAAGGTATAAAGGGCTATTTATATAAATGTTCGATGTACTGTAAATGTTTCTGTTTTGAATCCAGCATTCATTTGAAAAATGGGTAACAATTTACAATAAGGTTATATTAGTTATGAACGATACATTTATTCCAGTATTTATTCATCTTTGTTAATGTTAGTTAATGGAATTCAATCTGTTCATTGATAGGTCGCATTAACTCACAGTGCATTATCTAATGTTAACAAGCATGAATTTGGATGTTCATAATGCATTAGTAAACGCTGAACTATGAATAATAACTGCTGTACAATTATTGTTCATTATGAGTTCATGTTAGTAAATATTTTTATTAATAAACCCTTTTTGTAAACTGTGACTTGAAGACTTTTTCTGGCATTATAATTTTTGTTTGATTAAATAATTGTATAAATGTCAGTTGTGTGTAATCATTTTATAACTGTTATTAGCCTCTTATTGCTGTTTCGCTTTAACTTTTAGCTGACTTGCATTTTCAGTCATGTGGTGTGGATGGAGATCTTTTTGAAATGTTTGAATAACCCAGTATATGGACAGAAATCATTTTTATTTTAACTTTTTAACAGGCACCATACTGATAACTGATTGGTTAACCTTTTGTCCAAAACATTGCTAAAAACTCTAAATCTGCTTGGAACAATTTAAGCAAGAAGAGACAAATTTTAGACAAATAGACAAATTTTCATTTTGCAGAGTACCAGTTAAAGATATTAAAACCCCGTGTTATTAAAATTAAAACACACAAACCTAAACACAGCCCAAGTGTTTAAAGAGGGTGAGGTTTGACATAGTCTATTGTATGAGACTGAATGGGTAAAATAGTTGAGATGAGCAGGTATTCAATCTCTGACCTCTCAGAAAACTCCTGAAAGTCAGCCAGCAGGTCACAGATCCTCAGGCCGCTGCGAGCTGCTTTAGCTGAATACACAGGGCCGATTCCCTTTTTAGTGGTTCCTAAACTAGGTGGAGAAACAGAAACAAGGTGAGACTTGTGAGTGATGTTTGCATGCATAACACACAGACTGCCTCTCCATATTGGATTTAGACGTAACAGCAGTCTGAAAGCTTTTTCAGGGACCACAAAGAGATTTTAAAAAGAGAATAGGAGCCTGCGTTACATATATTAAACTTGCCTGCATCAAATTAGATTTACAAATGTGATTTAAATGCACAGGAAGCTTATGTAAATAAGTTTTGTAAAAATTAAATGTCAAAATATGGGTGAAGCCATTTGGCATTAGGCATGGGACGATAACTGGTTTAAGGTTTACTGCGTTTTTTAAAAAAGTCAAGGTTTTAAAACTGCTAAAAATCTGTTAAACCATTCCTAAGGTATTTGTAGGTATTTTTATGTGTTTTCTGTGCTTTTAAAACTAATGAAGACAGCAGAAGTCAGTGATTTATTTTAATTATTTAGCCAGACATGTTTACTGTAGCAAAATATTTTAAATGTTTCCTAAAATAAATGTGTTTCGTTCAATGGGGAATTTTTTTTTTTTGTATTTTTAACCAGATATTTAAAAATAATTTATTTTAAAAGAACTTATTTTAGAGCAGTGATCACAATACCATGATACCGTGATATTATTATCCAAGGTTATCATACCATCAAAAACTTTTACCGGCCCATGCCTATTTGGCATAACAAATATATTTGTGTAACAAGGACATGACAAACTTATGTTGACCTGTACTTATCAAAATAGCAAAATGAATCAAAGCAGTCAACAATTTATTTGTATTTTAACTTGTTTAAAACTTTAAACCTAAAAATGCCTTATGCTTTGAAGTATAGTGGCTAAATAAAAAGTATAGAGATTTTAAAAGACAGTTAATTAGTATTTTGGGACACAATTTGTTTTCTTTACATGAATAAATTTATATTTTTTCAGTAAAAGGCAAAAAATTATTCAAAATTGACTTTTTTTAAAGCTTCAAATTAATGATGCCTACATTTAAAGCCACTAAATGAATAATTATTTGTACACTACATTTAAATATATACAAAAAGTTTCAATATTTGTATTGATTTGTATACATTTGCATGCATTTGTAACATATTCATGCTAAAATTATATTTAATATTTCATTTTAATATTCATTATTGTATAATATAATGCTTGTAAAATGTTTATCTTTCGTTTTGCAAACATAAAAATACAAATTTTTTCATTTTTCACCAAAAAAACACTAACAAATTCAAGAAATAAGCCAAAAAACAAAAATACGGATAAACATTCAAGCAACTATTAGTTAGAAAAGGCTCAATTACACATCACTCTCAAAGTATTTCTTCTTTTGTTATGAACTCATGTCATAACATGTTGTATGCGTGTGCATTAAGCAGGGTTTTTACTTTTTGCCAGCTTGCTGTTGCCTCTCCTGTTCCTGGACTCCATCCACAGCTTGATGGAAATCAAACACTGGAGGCAGGAGAGTGTATAGATTACAGTGAGCACTAGTGTGCTGGAGCCAAAGAAAGCAGATCACCATCACAACACTCGTGTTGACTACAACGGCTCCGGCTGAGAGTCTACAGTTACAACCGTACACTAAAGGAACGATCATTCAGACAAACGCCATTCATCTCAATGGATTCAGATACGCTGCTCATTTAGGTTTTAAAGAGTCTTTAATTGTGTGATATTAGAGAATGGCACGGTTCTACCAAAAACTAAACAAAACAAGCACAAAAAACAGGGAAGTAAAAAATGCATTGATGCATCAATCAACATTTCAATGCTTTTATTAGACAATGCAGATCTTGAAGAAAATCCCAGTGCTTGAAAGACATTAAATGAAAATGAACACCTTGTTTTTTGCCTCTTAGAAACGATGCACAGATCAAACTACTAGTCAGAAATTATATGTTTACATACTAGAGAAGAAAGGAGCTGGAGTTTAGTCAGCAAACAAGTGTCTTATATACAAAACAAGACACACATATGGCAGCATACCTGTTTTACAAATATTCTGAGTATGTACAAGTTCTACCAAAAAAACAAACCTTACCCGAATGGGTCACACTTTACTATAAGGTTTCATGTAATCCAGGCTCATTCTAATTACGTACCCCTGTATACATTTCTGGAGAGTGCCAAATGCGTCCCAGGAGCTACGTTTTTGGCAGTTTTTGTTTTCACGAATCCACCAGAGGTTGCTGTGTACGCTTTTTCAGATGTCAAATTTCTCTTGCGAGTGGCATTTGCGCCTGCTGTTCTTGCGTAAATCTACCAGAGGTCGCTGACGCCTGACTTACAGACCATTCAAGTGACCCACCCTCGTTCTTCCCTAAACCCAACGATAGTGTTCTCAAAGGCATCGACTGACTCGCCCACCCACTTCCCTAAACCTAACCGACATTGATTTCAAAAGCAATCCACAAAAAGAAAAGCCCTTGTGGCAGCCTGATTTTAACCACGTTTTCTGATTTTACCACATTCTCACCCTGTTATTTACTTGTTAATGTTATTTTTTAGCTTTTGTTTTTGTTTTACCTGCTATCTGAAAACATTATACGCTGGACTCGAACCCCATCATTGTGGTCAACTTCTCTCTGCGTCCACTTATGTTTGTTTTGAGCTACCGGACAAACTGGTAACAGCGGAAAAGCTGTCCATACAAAGGTAAGCAGTCAGCTAGTGAGCGCGAAAAGCAACAGCGTCATACGGACCTTTTGCATTCATTTTAAAGATGAAATTCAGCCCTGCGTTCCTTTGGCTACATAATTCGCAGTCTCCAAAAATGTATATAGGTTTAGATTTTCAGAATGAGCCAATGTTGGTTTCGTTAGTTAATGTATTTACTAACATGAACTAATAATAAAAAAGACTTGTACAGCAGTTATTAATCATAGTTCAGTATTTACTAATGCATTATTAACATTCAAATTCATGCTCATTAACATTGGTTAATTCACCACAGATAAACATAAAATAGCAATAAATAACTTTATTTCCGTTAACTAACATGAACCAATACTGTAATGAATGTATTCATCAGTGTTTGTTCATGTAGGTAAATACATTAACAAATACAACCTTATTGTAAAGTTTTACCCCAGAATGTTAAAGTTTCAATACAATGTCTTGCAAGCACTGTAATAATGTCCACTCTATTATGTGTGTATAGTATTCAATTTAAAGGCTTATTAGGTTAACTAGGCAAGTTAGTGGATAACAGTGGTTTGTTCTGTAGCCAAATGGGGAAAGAAAATTCTCAAGGTGGCTAAACATATTGACTGAAATAATTTTAAAAACTGCTTTTATTCCAGCCAAACTAAAAATATTTTTTTGATTATTTTTTCCAGAAGAAAAAATTTAGGACATACTGTAAAAATATCGTTGCTCTGATAAACATCACCTGGGAAGTATTTGAAAAGAATAAGAGAAGCCTCTTTAACCGCTATACACACCTATATACCCCTTTCTGTAATTTAAATCATGCTGTTTTTGTTTTGATTGATACATTTTTACTATGATTTATAGCATTGATTGTTCCAAGATGGCAGTTGCATTTAAAGCAACCCAGGCTCATTCTGAAAACGTAGCCCCGCAGACATTTCTGGAGACCGCGAAATACATCCCGGGAGGTACTTATTTGCAGTTTTTGTTTTCGCAAATCTGCAAGAGGCTGCTGTGTGCGCTTTTCGAACGCCTCTCGTGAGCGTTCTCGCGTAAAAAGCCGCCGAAGGCCGCTGTCGAGCGACCGTCTGTCCGACTGACTGACTGACTGAACGGCTGACTGGGCGGCCGGCCAATCGGCCGACCCAGCAACCCTCCTCCTTCTTCCCTAAACCCAAGCAACGATTTACAAAAGCCGTCCAGAAAAAGAAAAGCTCTCATCCGATTTTGAACACGTTTTCGGATTTCACCGCATTCTCACCTCATTCACTTTTTGTCTTACCTGATTTCTGGAACTGTTCTAACCAGGACTCGAACCCGGTCATCGCAGCAGCCGGCTCCTCCTTCTCCGGACCTCCGCTCCGCCGACATAACATAACGAGCTAACCGGACAAACTGGTCACGGCGGGAAAACCCTCCACACGAAGGTGAGCTGTCAGCCCAGCCAGCGTGTGCGAAGAGGAGCGGCGTCACACCGCCCTGTAGCGTTTGCTTGAAAAAACTAAATGCGGCCATTCGTACCTCCAGCCACGTAAATCACAGTCTCCAGAAACGTCTGTGGGGCTACGTTTTCAGAATGAGTTTGGGTTGATTTAAAGTGGTTAAATGTGGCTTCTACATATATTAAACATGTCTATGAACCAAACAACAACTCTTGAACTTTATTCTTCTAAGACATCTCACAATCCAGAACCCCAATGTGTGAACTTTTGTATGTATTTGATATTGGTATCATTTAGCAAGAAATATAATCAAATCAAACTCTTTACACCCCAACAAAGCCAACATTTCTGTTTGTAGCTAGCTATGAATGCAATTTTGCAATATAGTGGTGTTTATTTGTCGCGGGAGCTTACCGATGTGTGCTCGATCAGAGATGATGAGTCGGCTCTCCCAGCCTTCAAGACCTGTGAACAAACCCAGAGTTAAACTCCTGTCAAAGCTCACTCACACATAAAGTTACAGAGAGTTATTGCACATAAGCAAGATAAAGGATTCAACTGGGACTTTCAAGCTATGCTGGATGATTTTAGCACTGACTCGGTTGCACAAAAACAGGCTAAATTAAGTTACTACAGAGATGTATTTTTTGCAAAGCAGAGCTTTCTCCAGGATAACAACCAAGCTAAGATTAATCCCAGTGATTTATTTGTTAGTTTCACTGTCAATGCTACTAGAAATAAATGGTTTACAGTCACTCCATGTTCTTAGCCGTTTACATAGACTTTCCAACCATTAGAACTAAAAAATATGTTAAAATGTATTAGCAATAATTGTATGTATATATGCTCATACAGTATATGGTCTTATTCTGTAAAGCGGAGAGATATATTAAAACCAGTTAGAAAAATGATTATATTACTAATAAAAAACAAAGAAAACAATTAGAGGTTAAAGAGTAGATAAATGATGATTAAATATTAGATAAAATAAACTAAACAGATTAAATACAAATATTAAAATAATGGGTGTTTGCAATTAATATTCTTCATAAATTAAGTGAGTAACATGAACATCCACTAGTCCTATTTAAGGCAACATGAACAACTGCTAATTTGCTAATATGTTTCACCTCCTCATAAGTCTCTGGAAGAAAGTAATGGGAGTTTCCAGGTCTGTGTTTAAGAGGGGTGTTTTTTAACTCATCACCTGACTGGCTCACATCAGGTTTTATCCACATTTGAATCATTAATTTTTTGATCGATCCCATGGTCTGAGGAATAATGTAGTAGACATGCACTTATCCTGGCCATCTGCATCAAGCTTGACAAAGCAGCACGTTCTCATCCTGCACAGTAAATATTATCTGTTAACTAACAGTTTCGGGTGGCACGGTGACTTAGTGGTTAGCACTGTTGCCTCACAGCAAGAGGGTCGCTGGTTTGAGTCCCGGCTGGGTTAGTTGGCATTTCTGTGTGGAGTTTGCATGTTCTCCCCATGTTAGTGTGGGTACAGACATGTGGTACAGGAGGTGAATTGAATAAACTTAAGTTGGCCATAGTTGGAAGGGCATCCGCGGTTTAAAACATATGCCAAAATAGTTAGTAGTTCATTCCGCTGTGGTGACCTCTGAAATAGAAACTAAGCCGAAGGAAAATGAATAACGGTTACCATTTTTTGTGATTCAAAATTGTTTTCCGTTTATTTACATTTTTGATTTGCATTATGGGGCCTTTTCTCTACTCTGTCGACTTTTGATTTTAAGAATCTACAGTTTAACAGGCACTTTTATTAACATTTTAGTTTGAAATAAGTTTGAAATAATATAATGTATAAGAAATTATTATATATTATTATATTATATATTTAAGTCTGGAAAATAACAGAAAATCTACTGGGCTTTTTGTATGATAATATACAACACCAACATTATTAAAAATGTTAAATAAGACACTTTTTTAATCTTTTCAAGGTTAAGAATTGTTGTAAGGAAGATCAAGGTTCCATAATGCAATTTAAAAGCATAAACAAATGGGGGGAAAAAACCTTGAATCACAAAATCTGAAAAACTGCTCATTTACAAATATTTTTTACAGTGTGGATCTGCAAACTTGCAGAACGCACTGATTTAACTAGGTTAAGCTGCACTTTGTCTGTTATCCTGGCCTTCCTAATTCTACTTTTGTGCATTAACCCTCTGGAGAACAAACAGTTAAACACAAACCTTTTCCTTTCCGCACATTCTTCTCAGCCTCCTCGAAGAGTCCCGGCAGGTGAATGACTACACCATTACCTGCAATCAGAATAGAATAGAAGGCTTTCACATGACATCACATTCAACCTGGATACAAAGCGCTTTTAACCTTGAAGCGTTAAATAATGTTGTGCTAGAATGTTACAGTGAGGCGTTTAGAAACTGACAACTCGTGTCATTAATATTAATGAACTTTGTACTGTGACAGAAACTTGTTTCTCGTGTCACACTGTGTTCAGTTTCAGTGGCGACAGATACACAGATGGGCATATATTGTACAATCAACACGATTAACTTCATTAATATGCAAAGAAAAACATTCAAAGGAATACTGCAATCAAAAACTAACACTTTTACTTTCATTTACTCTCCCTCAGGCCATCCAAGATGTCACTGAACTGTGGTCCTTGGTAATTAATGAAATGCAAAAGTCAATAGTTACTGGCACTTTGTGAGTCAAAAATCACATACAGGCAAAAAAATAAATACATGAACAACTGATAATAGATTGAGCATCTTATGAAGCAAAATGACCAGTCTGTGCAAGTAACTGAATATTATTTACAACTTTTCTCCACAGCCTCTAAAAACAAACAGAAAAGTTAAATAATCTTCAGTTTCCAATCATTTCACTTCATAAGACCAGCTCATTTGAATGTTATCAGTAGATTAAATGGGTGTAATCAGTGGTTATCAGCTGATAGATATGGGCCAGTAGGGGCATTCTGCGCCTACTAGTAGGATCAAAAGGTTGTTACCATCCATCAACATGATTAATCAGCTACAGATTACATATGGCGGTGGCCAGAAGTTTTATATCATTTATTAAATTTCCCATTATTCATTCATTCATTTTCTTTTCGGCTTAGTCCCTTTATTAATCTGGGGTCGCCACAACGGAATGAACCGCCAACTTATCCAGCATATGTTTTTATGCAGCGGATGCCCTTCCAGCCGCAACCCATTTCTAGGAAACATTCATACACCTTCATTCACACTCATACACTATGAACAATTTAGCCTACCCAATTCACCTGTACCGCATGTCTTTGGACTGTGGGGGAAACCGGAGCACCCGGCGGAAACCCACGCGAAGGCAGGGAGAACATGCAAACTCCACACAAAAATGCCAACTGACCCAGCCGAGGCTGGAACCAGCAACCTTCTGGCTGTGAGGAGACAGCACTACCTACAGCGCCACTGCGTCGCCCATTCAATTTCCCCATTCGCCCATTCAAATTCGCCCATTCAATTTTTATTTAATTAACGTCTACCCCAACCCTAAACCCACCCGTCACAGTAATGTAAAAACATATCTGAATCTGAAGTCTTCTCTATTAGTATAGCTGACTAAACATGTGGATGGATGATAACAGCCTACTAGTAGGCTCAGAAGGCCCCTAGTGGCCCATATCTATCAATTGATAACCACTGAAAACACCCATTAAATCAAGTGAAAACATTTAAAGTGGGTGATAAGACCGCAATATCTTATCATGAGCCTCTTTTTAAAAAATAATGTATTATATATGATGGCCTGAGTAAAAAAATAAAAAAGGAAACTTCTGAGAGAACTAGTAAAGGCATAGTTTGTTTGGAAGTACTGTCCAAAAACCTGATCAAAAAGTCATAATTACGTTTAATAAAAAGAAATTCTGAAGAATGCTATAGCAACCGAACAGATTTTATTCCCAGTGACTTTCAGTTTATAAACAAAAAGTGTTTTCCACCATTCTTTTAATTTTTATTTAATGTGACTCATTATTGATGTGTACCCCTGTATACATTTCTGGAGAGCGCTAAATACGTCCCAGGAGCTACATATCTTTGCAGTTTTTGTTTTTGCAAATCCACCAGAGGCTGCTGTGTAAGCTTTTTTTTGCTTTTTCCTCAATTTTCTCTCACCAGTGCCATTCGCACATGCTGTTCTTGCATAAATCTACCAGAGGCCACTCTGTATGCTTTTTAAGATTTAAAATTTCTTTCACAAGTGCCATTCACGACTGCTGTTCTCGCCTAAATCCACCAGAGGCTGCTGACTCCCCCCTCATCCACCCCCTTCCCTAAACCCAACCAACAGAGATTTCAAAATTAATCCAGAAAAAAAAAGGCCTCATCGTAGCCTGATTTTTACCAGGTTTTCAGATCTTACCATATTCTTACCATGTTATTTACTTGTTTTTGTTATTTTTTGTTTTGCCTGCTTCAAACCCAGTCATCATGGTCAACTCCTCGAACGTGGTGAGCTACTGGGCAAACTGGTAACAGTGAAAAAAGTCGTCCACGTGAAGGTAAGCGCTCAGCCGAAGCACAAAAACAAAAAGAAGCCCTCAGAGTCGTCATATCGCCCTGTAGCGTTTGTTTTAAAGATAAAATGCAGCCATAGGTAGCTCTGGCTACATAATTCATGCTCTCCAGAAACCTATACGGGGGTACATTTTCACAATAAGCCTGTGTTGGTAGAAGGAAATGCAAACAAGTTTGGAACAACCAAATTCTAGAATTATCATGCTGACCAATTAAAAATATGTTTAAATATGGAAAATACATTTTAACTGTTTAAACATGTATGCTGAATTTCATTAAAGTTGCTTTTCCACTGTGCGGTGCAGTTTGACTTTGTATACTTCAGTTTGATTTTACTCAGCTCATAGTTTGCATTTCCATTGCCGTTTAGCACAATATAAACAAGTGTGCAAAACAAACCAATCTACAACACAGAGGCAATGGATGCTAACGATGGAAAGGTGTTCATGAGCAGTGGCTGCAGCTGACTTTTTAAGTATAGCATTTGGTGTCTATTTAAATATAGCTTGGTGTCTCGTGTAACAAATCCAATGACGCTGGTAGTGTCCGTTATCTCGGACCAACTGGTGATGAGCAGTGTGTACACCTCACATTTTGGCAACACTACAGCTCTCTTGGAACCTAACCCATGGTAGCACAAAAAAAGTACCAGGAACAAGGGCTGACAAATTAATCAAACATGATTGCGCAAAGCTGGGATCATGTACATCTTGTTTCATGTACATCTTGTCAAGGAAGCACAGTGTGATCTGTAGTAAATCTCCTCCGAAGGCCAGAGGGTGCTCTCACAATAACTCCAAATGCCCACAAAGAAACCCAGGAAATGCCTTTAGTGGTTGTTGAGTAAACAGAAAATTTACTGATTTCATTGATTCAACATGACTAATAAACACAGACTCACCACTATAGAATCAAGTTATGAGTTTGTGTTTGTTACATGTTATATGTGCTAAATTACTCTTCAGCATTTACTACACAGAGACAGAACCGTAGTTTACTGGGAAGCAACACTATTATCGCAGGATATTTCAACCAAATTTTATGTAGCTTGTTGTGAACTGTTAACTGTAAACTTATAGTAGACACATGTATTGGAGGTTTATTGAACTGGCTATACTGACAAAATGCACATGAAAATCACCTTTGATTAAATGCCTTGGCCTACTAGGGACAGAAGGCAGTTGAAATCCCCCAAAAGTATGATGTACTGAAATGAACAGTGGCATACCATGCAGTAAAATAGTGCCTCTATCAAGACACCAGGGGCCTCATGTATCAACGCTGCGTACGCACAAAAACTTTGTGTACGCCAGGTTTCACGCTCAGAATCAGTCATGTTTGGATTTACTAACGATAAACTGAACGTGGGAATGTGCGCAGCTCCACGCCAGCTTTATGGCTGGCGTACGCACATTTTTTGTGCGTGTCTGTTTTATTTCCATTGGCGACTCCTAGAGGCAGTTGTGTTAAATTCCTCTCTACAAAGTGTCAGCCTTGCAGTGGCAGCTGTATGAGACGGGTTCATCTAGCAGGTATATAAGGTTTCCATACCATACAGTTGACCAGCTAAACATTAAAGCACAATTTGCAGCGGTCTCCTGTTTTCCCAATGTAATCTGAGCAATCTACCGCACGCACATTGCTATAAAGACACTATCTGAACATGAATTTGCATACGTGAATCAGAAACATTTCCATTCAATAAATGTGCAAATAAAATATGATGCACAAACTTATTAATGATTCCTACTTGTATTTCTCGTGATAAATAGGGAAAAAAGAAGAATGAGTTCATCAGACGCTGGATTCGAACCTAGTTCATGCTCGAACGTGTCAAAACATGTTGACATGCGTCTTACGAGCTGCGCCACTGAGACTGTTAAGGGTACTACAACAGTTTACACCTATAAACCACATTATTTATTTTTTAAATCTACTCAGTGCGATGTTCAAACCCAACTGTGTTGACCGCATCAGCTAAACTCTCCCACTCTATTTTTTTTTTTTTTTGTTGTTAATTCCGGAGAACAAACTTGCAAATAACACCGTTTTCCTCCGGTCTACCTCCGAAAGCAGCACCTCCAATTCACATTCTGTTCAAAGTTTCTCTTTTTGCTTGCTTTTGCCATTGCTTTTTCGCTGGGTTTTGCCAAAGTATAGTCATTAGCATATTCATACGGGGGAGGAGGCCGTGAGGAGTTTTGTGCTCGTGCATGTTGCGCTCAGTTTCACGTTCGTTCGGATGTTTAAAAGAATATGCGTGAGATTCGGCGTACGCAGTGTTTCATACATCTGAATTTTTTTCTGCGTACGCACATTTACAGCTTTGTGCGTACGCAATGTTTTAGTATGATTTTCACGCAAGTCTTCGTACATGAGGCCCCTGAACAGTATAAAAAAACTTTACATAAGCCACACAAATTTAGCTACTTCACAAATGCACAGGCCTTGATTGATTGATTGATTGATTGATCGATTGATCGATTGATTGATGGATTTATTTATTTGCAGCAATTAGTTTGTCCACAATTTGGCAGTAATGCCCCTGTGATGCCAATCCATAGCCTTAGCCTGTTGATCTATGTTAAGGTTTTACTGAGATGATGGGTATGTATGTACAAATAAACACAACATAGGCTCATTCTAAAAAAGTAGTACTATATATGTTTCTGGAGACCACAAATTATGTAGCAATTACGTAGCCAGAAGTACGTACAGTATGGTTTTAATTTTTTTAAACAAATGCTACGGGGCAATTTTACTCCATTCCTTTTCGCGCTTACCAGCTGACCGCTTATCTCCGTATGAAACGCTTTCACGATGTAACCGTTACTCCTGTTAGTTCGACATGTGCGTCAGTGAACTTGAGACACAGAGAGGAGTTGAACACTATGACAGGGTTCAAGGCCGGTGAAAAATGATTCCAGAAAGCAGGTAAGACAAAAACAGAATCCAAGTAAATAACAGGGTGAGAAATGTGGTAAAATATGAAAACATTGTAAAAATCTGATGAGGGCTTTTCTTTTTCTGGATTGCTTTTGAAAATTGTTGGTTGGGTTTAGGGAAATGGGTGGGCGGGTCAATCGATAAAACTGCATGGGTTTAGAGAAGCAGGAGGGCGAGTCAGTCAGTCATTCACCAGTCAAATGAGGTGTTTATGTGAGAACAGCAGGCGTGAATGGTACTCTCGAGAAAAATGTGAGATCTCAAAAAGCATACACAGCAGCCTCTCATGGATTCGCGAAAACAAAAACTGCAAAAAAAAAACAAAAAAACATACCTACTAGGACATTTTGCGGTCTCCAGAAATGCATATAGAGGTATGCTTTCAGAATGAGCCTGGGTTGAACAAACATGTATGAATGCTCCATTGGATTTCATAATTTGGCCGAGTAAATGTATACGGTACACATCATATAATTTTAAAGCTGCTTGTGCTTAGGTAAGAAATACAGGCATGCTTTAGGTTAAAGTGGTAAAGTGCTCTGTAATATGAACCTCGGGCACTTCCTACAGATCATACTAATCTACAGCACTGCCAAATGAATCAGAAGGCCAAAACACAATGGTGGCCATTAGCAGAATTAGATCTTCGCAAATAAACTGCATAGATTGCACTCAGCTATATTAGTCTGCATAGGCTGGCCAGTGTCCAGACACTCTAAGAGAAAGGTGTGGTGTTGTACTGTAAGCAAGGACCAGCTATCTGCTCAACTGGATATATGCGAGTGTGCACAACTTACCTAAGGCTCTATTATAAACCTGGTATCAAGATGCATTTTTGCCAGTTCCATCACTAAATGGGGTCTAAAATACTTTGGGCTTTATTATGATGATCCATGCGCAAAGTGTAAAGCGCAGGGCGCAAACGCATTAGGGGCATGTCTTAATCCACTTTTGCTAATATAAGGATGGAAAAATCCGCTTTGCACCGTGGCGCATGGTCTGAAAGGGTTTAGTTTATTTTCTTAATGCGTAATAGGTGTGTTTTGAGGATAAACCATTCAGAGTCTCATCTCCCATTTCCTTTAAGATTCAGTTGCGTCGCGCCATAAGCGCATTTGCTATTTACATGATGGACTTTGTAAGTGAAAAAACTGAACCCTTTATTAGAGAGAAAACAGTTAAACGGAGCATCTACAGCGCGAGAATGAGAGATGAGCCTCCTCATTATTTACTTTGAATTGTTGCGCCTTGCGCCACATTGCACCAGGGGTATGATAGGGCCCATTGAGTCTGTGGTCTAAATGCTTTTGACTTCTATTTGTAATGTGAATGCCTTTGATCATATTGCTTGAGAAGTGTAAACCCCCATGTGGTCGAATGCTTTCAAATGGCCACTAAAGCCACCTACTGACCTAACAATGTGCTTGTTTTGGATATATATACACATTAGGGATATATTATATTATATATATTAGGGATGCAACAATACAGTTAGCCCATGGTTCAATACATACCTCAGTTTTCGGTTCGGTTCTCATGACTTTTTCAATCATGATACACACACATATATATATATATATATATATATATATATATATATATATTAGTGCTGTCAATCGATCAAAAAAATTAACTAATAAATCGCACTTCTAAAAAAATTTTAATCGCATTTAAAAGACTGAAACTTGTAATTTTGTCTATTCGAGTGTAAAATTAATGTAAACGCAAGACAAATACTATTTAAATTCAAAATATAATTCATTATAAGAATTTTTTGTTTACTTGTAACACAGATTTCTTCATGTAAACAACATACCCACAATAAACCATCAAGATCCTGGCTTGACAGCCATATTTATTACAGAAATAAAAACACAGGCATGTTAATGCCATTTTAATTTCAAAACAATCAATGACAATAAAGAAAACATTGATTTCCCTGTTAGATTCTAAGTGGACTGCAAAAAAATGCCAAAATACAGGCATTGGAAATATGGAAAATTATATTAATAATAATAAAGTATTGAAAATCTGTGCATGCCCTTGAATAGGTTTACCCACTCCCATTCTATAAAAGCACAAAAGCCATATAAAGGAAATATGAGAGTTGACAAATTAAAAAACTACATTTTTTTTATTTATTATTAAAATAAAATTATAATCCACACTGGAAATGTGGGTGCCTGTGTGTTTTGAGGGGGCCTAGAAAATAATGAGCATAACAAAAACTGCCTGCTGACGCACACAGTTAATGTTGATTAATAAAATAAAGATAAATAATAAAAGCAATGTATCAGAGACCCTTAAAAAACATGTTTAACTCAACAATAAAACATCAAACGTAGCTAACAGCTTTTACATTGTCAATCAAATGAACTTAAACAATTAAAAAATGCAACAAATATTAGTTTGGGCAGAACTACAAAAATAAATGTAAAAAAAAGTTGCTTAAGTTGCACACTAGTTTGGTTATGTATAAATATCATTATATTAACCATATTGTATAAATATTATTGTCACTATAAGCCTACATCATGCTGACGATCAAAAACACTGTCATGATATCTCCTGCGCTTGTCTTCTGACCGAGTTAATTTTTTTTAACGCGTTAATTATTTCAAATTAATCGCATGCGTTAACGCGTTAATTTTGACAGCGCTAATATATATATATATATATACACACACACAGTGGGCACAAAAGCAAGTATTGAACACATGACCATTTTTCTCAAAAACATATCTCTAAAGGTGCTGTTGACTTTAAATATTCACCAGATGTTGATAACAACCAAAGAAATACTGATATGCAAAGAAAACAATCTAATATAGTTAACAAATTTAGTTATGTGTAATAAACTTTAAATGGCAGTAGGTAAAAGTATTGAACACATGAAGAAAGGAAGCTGTAGAGAGGCAGTGAAAGCCCAGACAGCACCTGAAATCTCTCAGTAGTTATTCAGCAACCCTCTGTCCTTTGTCCTGTAAATTAATATTCGCTGCTTCAGAAGATGAAACCAGGGTAGACATTTCAGCAAGACAATGCTATAAAACATCTCAACATCTCCAGAAACTCTCAAATGGTTTCAGAGAAGGAGAATCAAGTTGTGGAATGGCCCAGCCAATTCCCTGACTTGAATCCAATATAATAAATTGTACTCACACGTCATACTGTGCACTGTTTTAAAAGTGGTGTAGAGAGTGGCTAAATAATAGGGAAGGAAGCATCTCTACAAAATTCAAACGCATGCGGTCACAAGAGACATACCTGAATGCATTTTAATACCAGATGGAAAATAATAAAGATAATGTGTTATTATGTACTCACCAATAAAAGCAGTGACCTTAGGGTTGATAATCCCACTGGGTAGAAGGTGGAAATCATATTCAACTGAATCAACCACGACGGTGTGTCCTGCGTTGTTGCCTCCCTACGAGAGAGAAGAACTTTTTAGTGCTTGAGAAATCAAACTCATCAAACAGCTTGCCCCAATCTTATGTTCAAAACCTTCAGAATATTTATTTCATGAAAGATAAAAGATGAGTCTTCTTGTGTTTTTTGTCCAAACAATAGAAATCAATGAGCTCCAATGTAGTGTTTTGATCTCAAAGACAAAATAATAATTTGCACTCATAGAGAAAAGTACTGTATGTTTTAGTGAATGAAGTATCCCTTCAGAAAACTCTTTGAGGTTTACTATGATATGGTATCAACATGATTTGACATGCTGTTGCAAAATGGAAAAATTGAAGAATGTAAATCATGCTAATTTCAGTTGTAAGGTATGGATTTAACATTGAACCGCTCTATTACTCAGTTAGACAAGATTCAAGTGGAATCCACAGACTCACATTTACTGCATTAATATTGGAGGGACATTTGTGGAACACACCAAATTTTAAAACGGTAAAATGTATTTCCAAAAAATGTATTTGATACTTTGGGCACACTGGGCATTTTTAATTTAAAATTAAATTAAATTAAATTAAATTAAATTAAATTAAATTAAATTAAATTAAATTAAATTCAATTCAATTCAATTCAATTCCCAGTGTAATTAAATTCCCAGTGTACCTAAACTATTAAATTACTTTTGTTAAAGGAAAACACAACACTTTTTACAAGTAACCAAGAATTAAACCAACCCAGGAAAATTGGAAACATGTGCCCAATGCTACATTTTTGAGAACCGACAAATATGCACTCTGTACTTCTTGCTGTTTTTGTTTTCACAAACCACTAGGAGGCACCGTGTACATTTTTGACAATGTCATACATAAACGTAAAATCCATAATGGCAGCTGTGGACATTTCTGGAAATCCTTTTCAAGCCATGAAAGAAGCTGGTCGGCTTCTCGTTGTGCATAATATATGAACTTGATATTGACTGATCCACACACTCCCTTCCCTAAACCCAACCGAGTGTTTTCAAAAGCAAGTATAAAAGCCATTGCGGGCCGTGTGATTCTACCGCAATCTCACATTGCTTCAGTGGGTTTTGTTTAACTTGATTTCGGTCTTTCACCTGACTCAAACCCCAATCCTTTCTGCTTCGGTATTTCAAGTCTGATCCTGTTTGTGGTGTGCTACCAAGCAAACCAGTCATGCTGGAAAAGCTGTCCCTACAGAGACAAGCAGTCAGTGGTATTAGCCATAGCATTCGTTTTACACACAAAAAGCAGCCAAATGTACCAGTGAGCACATATTTGTCGGTTCTCAAAAATCTAACCCTGGGCACATTTTCACAATGAGCCTGTGTTGAATTAAACAGTCAAGTTTACCCTTTTAAAATGCCCTTTATACTCTTCTTCTGGTGTAATGATAATCAAGGAACTTTACATTCTGTCCCCAGCTAGGTACTAGGTAATAGCACTGCATGATATATTTGCGTTCCTTAATTATTAGACGATCCATATGCCTTAATGCAGTGGTTCTCAAACTGTGGTACGTGTACCACTAGTGGTACGCGGGCTTCTATCTAGTGGTACACGGGGGAATCAAATATGTCATATATACATGCAAGATATATTTCAAAATTTATCACAAATGATTTATATATGAATATGATGACATATCGCATATATTAATGAGGCCCAAGCAACATTTCCAGGTTGATGAATATGCTACTATATGTTAATACTTTACATATAAAAAAGCACATATAATTAAAACGTTGACATTTTATTTTGGCTGTTTGCTGTTGTTTTTTTTTTTTACCAGTAAGCACAATACAGTGTTAATGTTCAAACTATTTATAATGTTTAAAGCGGCTGACAATAATAAATATTCTTAATAATAGGAATTATTCTGCCTGGTTTCTGAACTGTGCAGAGCTGTAGGTGCTTAATTAGGCCTACTAGCTACTGTATTTTAATACTGGTCATTATAGTGTTACTTGGAGGGACAATTTTTTTCTTAGGTGGTACTTAATAAAAAACGTTTGAGAACCGCTGCCTTAATACATGATTTAACTACACTGTAATCCCGAATAAGTTGACAAAACTCAAAAAATTTGAGGTAATCAGTTACGTCAAATTTTTTAAGTTATGAAATTATCTATTTTAAGTACACAGAAACATTAAGTTTTGAGTTTGTTGTACTCATGCAAGACACTTCACCTAACTTAAAATACCCAAGTTACTCAGCTTATACGTTTTAATTGCAATTAACTTAATTGTTTTAATTTTTCCAAACTTTAAATACTTAGTCACCCAGCTCATACATTTTAATACCAATTAACTTAATTGCTTTAATTTCTTTCAACTTTAAATACTTAAATCACCCAGCTCATACATTTTAATAGCAATTAACTTATTTTTAATTATTTATCTCACCTTTACATACTTAGTCACCCAGCTCATACATTTTGATAGCATTTTTTTAAAATTAACTTCTCCATCGTCAGTTTCACAAATAAAATTAGCCATTATTTTAATCTTTAAACCCCATAAATCTGTCAAAATAAATCTGTAATTTAAAACACACAGACAATACCATTTTAGACATTTATTGTTAAAGAAAAAATGTCCAACAGTACTTTCAAATTTGTCTCCTGTGCAATTACAAATGTCTTAAAACGATAAAAACTATTAGACATAAAGAGATTGAAAATGAACACTATTCTGAAATTAATAAAAATTACCCACAATGTAAATATGATATCAGACATAAGAGCCTCAAGAAAAAACAACTATAAGTTTGATAAAATTTAATAATACATTAATAAGTGTAAAACTTACTCTTAAGGCATTCGTTAAAAAAAAATAGTAAGTGCACATTCTGTGAAGTGACTTGTTTAGTGTAAACTACACAGAAACTGTATATATATATATATATATATATATATATATATATATATATATATATATATATCTCGTTAAAGTCAGAATTATTCGCCCCCATTTATTTTTTCCCCCAATTTCTGTTTAACGGAGAGCAGATTATATATATATATATATATATATATATATATATATATATATATATATATATATATATATATATTGTAGCGAGGCAGAGGGAAAACAGCGACACAGTAGGATGAGTTTACAGACAAGTCCCCGGAGGGTGCTTTATTTACAAAGTGTGGGTGGTGTAAAAGGTGCTCTTCTTTAAGGTGAGGTGCTCTGGTGCTCCGGGAAGTAGGTGAAGGACAGTGAGTAGTCGGGTGAAGGATCGTCACGAGCTGGAGTCCGCTATGGAGAGACAAAGAGACAAGCATTAGCACAGGCAGTCATTGAGAGAATGAAGCTCATCTTCTCCTGGCGTAGGTTGGGCTTATATGCCCCACCGCGTGATGCCGTCCAGCTGTGAGAAATCCTGGCTTGATGATGGTCCAGCTGGGTGAAATTAGCGACCAGGGCGACGTGGCATGTGATCGCTCGTTACAATATATATATATATATATATTCAGTCTTGGTTGAACTATGATTCTGTCATTTACTTATTCCAAACCTGTTTGAGTTTCTTTCTTCTGTTGAACACTTAAAAGGTTATTTTTGACCAAAAAAAAAAAAAAAGCTGAGACCTGTAACCACAGATTTCCACAGTATTTGTTTTCCTATTAGAAAGTCAGTGGTTACAGGTTGTCAGCTTTACTTAACTTTTGTGTTCAACAGAAGCAAGAAATTCAAGCAGGTTTGGGACAAGTGAAGAGTTAGTAAATGACAGAATTTTACATTTGGACAAACTATCACTATATATAATAAAATGCATACTTACCAATTAAAGGTAAATAAATGTTTTGAAGTTACTACCCCAGAGACAGTCTTTATTAAGTAAAAAAAAAAAGCTCTACATTAACTCATTCTTTAAGGTTTCCATGCTACGAGACTTTTTATTTTCCATCATCCATGCCAAGCAAAACTTTTTGCACAAGTTCAAAGTCCTTTACTATATATTATGTGAAGAGCATACATTAATCCATACAAGACAAGAAAGGTCTGGAAGTGTGCTGTGGGTGGTGTCCAATTCATTCTTCAGGACAACAGAGACCCTCAGTGAATGCAGGGCCAATAAAGCATCTTCAGTCAGCAGGATTATCAATCTAAAAACATAATTCAAGGATATTAATGTAAGGACAGTATCAAAATGACTGAGCCAATATTATATGATTCATCAACTATTCGTGATTACAAATATGTTATTAAGTAAAAGTTTTCAAAACTTTCATCTTTTCATTAAACATGCCTAATTGTGAAAAGAATGAATGAAGTCTTACCAGGGTGTTCCTAAAGAATCTTAAGTCACGCTCACGCAGCAAGACCAAAAGACCTCTGATAACAGTAGTCCGTCATGAACTGACATCATGCAGTTCCTGGAAATCAAGAATCAATTTTTTAAAAATTAAAAAAAAAAAAAAAAAAAAATTCTAATTATATTTTAATGTATACTTTAACACGTGACCCCAAACATACCTGCTCATCATAAACCTTTAAAAGATTAGCCAGGGTATCTGCTGTCTTGCCAGTTTTGGATGCTGTTTGCCTTAAAATTGTCATCAAATGAAATAGGTGGTGGTCCAGTTGTGCAAAGAATTTGTGGGGAAAATTCTCATTTGTAACATGTTGGTACTCTGCAAACAGCAAAAAGAAAAAAGAGAGAATTTCATAAAACAAACCCACACCACAAAATATACAATTCTAGAAAAAATGTATTAATATTATTATTATGTTTCATTTACTTATCTATTTTTTACCTCAGATGAAAATCAGGTGTTGATCAGATGTTGAAAGCAGGATCTTCATGTTGTAAACTGAACTCAAGGTCTAGCTGAAGTTTCACTTTCCTTGCTGCAAAAGTATCATTGATAAATACACTGTAATATTTATTTTATCTGGATATGCCAGGCATAGTAGTACAAAATAAATATTTTACCCACCTTTCACATGCCTCCATTTAAGAACCTATCTGTAGTCAGCAACACCCGAC